CGTGGGATCCACGCGGGACGGCGCCCTGACCGCGGGCGCAGGCCACTCCGGCCCCAAATCTGGTCCCTGCTGCTGCATTCATTATTTCCTCTGCCCGAATGCGCTGAGTCCTTGGGAAGAGAAAGTGCAGCCCGCACCCAGCTTCGTACCCCGCGCCCCAGCCGCAAGTCGCCAGGGGAAGTTGTGGGCTCTACCAGAAGCGTGCTCACCGCTCCCCAGACCTGCCTGCGCCGGAGCGGGAGATAACGGTTTAACCCCGGGACTTCGGGAGGCTGAAAAGTAGCAGCCGCTCTCCGCCTGGCTCCTCCGGATCGCGGACTCATTTTCCCCGTGACACCCTGCTTATTGCAATACCTAACAGCAGCAATACCGGCGATCCATCTCAGAAGACTCGTAAATGCATCTTTTATGTTGAAGTGGTCTGTTTGGGATTTAGGCCCAGCGTTAATAATGGAAAGCAGTTGTTTTTAGTTATTGTAAAAGTTTTTTCCCCCCTAACAAACTTGCAAAGTTCCTATTTTAGGAACTTCTGGAAGTATGGAATGAAACTTTTCCAACCATTTCTGGCGAGATTCACAATTGCATATGGATAAGATGCAAAGTGTTGGGATCATTTGAATGAATTAAAGGCTGCAGTGAAGACGCTGAGATTCCGAGGCTGAAGTTCTAGCTGGCTAAACTTTGCAGCAGCAGAACTTGTAGATAATAGCAGCGTGCTGCCGTAGGGAGCAGCGGCACATGCTGGGGTCCCTCCAAGGGCCCAAGGGGACAGGCTGGTGTTTGGGCCCTGCTAAGAGGACACCTGTGCCCTGCAGGCCCAGCAGTCAGTCGGGGGTACAGAGCTGGCTCCTCCGGCCTCTCTGGCTATTATCATAGTAACAGAGATTTCCTCTGCTTTTTTTTTTTTTCACTCCTACATATTTGGTAGTGTTGATTTTGCATTCACTAGGCCTTTGAACATTTATATTTGGTTTAACAGTTTGTGGAGAAAATGTACAATAAATAGTGAATAAAATTTTATCTTAAGGGAGATTCTTTTAGAAATTGATTTACAGTTTACCTATTTTTCTGAAATATTTATAACACTCTAAGGCCAGTTTTAGAAAGAAAAACTTAGCCTATTTCTCTTTAAAAAAAATCCGGTAAGCACAGTGATAAAGGTGCTGCACATGAAAGACTAGACTCCATGTACTTGTATGTAATTTTTAAACACTTTGCCAGGATAATGCCAGACAGCTTGAACCCAGAAGGGGCACATTATAACTAAATTGTGTATCTGGCTGTACAGTGATAGCCCAGCAGAAATTTATCGGTGAACCTTTAAAAAAATAGATTCTAGAAATATCACTATTTCGTGATTCTTAAACTTGGCTTCCTTTCAAATGGATTCACATTTAGGATGTTCTGATTCAAAGTAAGAGCCGCTCTGGACACAGGTTTTCAGGTTTGTTTTTATTGGTGGCCTGTAATGTTCTCGCTGACTATGTATGTTAAAACACATTTTGTTTTTTCTTGAGTTCTGTGGAATACTACAGAGCTGATGGTGTTTTGTTCAACAGCATGATTTATAAGGACATAACCCACCCACCCCAGCTATTCACTTATACTATCCCGGGACATTTCCTACAACTAATGAATAATATTCTTTAGCTTTGCTGTTCTGGAGTATTTCTCATCATGAGTTGAGAAAGTGCATTTTTAAAAAATTAACTAGTATTGAGATTGTGCATTTGAGTAAAGTTTTTCAAAATAGTGTACACTTTTATTGGCACATTCTTGAAATCTTCGGGGAATAATACGTTATAAATACTTCTGATGCAGAGTTGGGGGCTCATATTATTCTTAGTGACTGGTGGACACAGTTGGCCTCATTTATGGGTTTCATGATGTGCTATCTGGCCTTGGTTGGCAGGTGAACAGATGCTTCTGAACTCCGGCGAATGCGGTCTGTTTTTTGAGAAGCATTTAGAAAATACCTTTGGATGTGTAAAGTGTTGTACTCTGACACTTACTTAAAATGCTCATTGTCAGTACAGCTTTAACATAAGAGTTTTAGGGTAGATGTGAAATGTCTGGACTCAGGTTGCTCTTGGTGTTACAAAGCAGAGCAGAGGCTTTAAAGGAAGGTCTTCTTTTGATGAGAACTCACTGTGCAGTTGAAGGTAGGCTGCTCGGTGCCATCGATCGTGTCCCCAGCACGTCCCATCTCCGTGTGAAGATCGGCCAGTGCGAACACTGCCTCAAACTTAAAATTCATGTATTTTAGAACATTTTCAGGATGAGCTCAGAATTTAGTAGTGTTTAAATGCTTTGTGGTTTGGCATATACCTTAGCAGATAAATTGTGACTTGTCCCTTATTTCTTTCTTTTAAAGTATGGAAATAAGGAAAATTCTGAAATATTAGAAAATTTTAAAAATGCTAATGGTTTATGGTAAAGAATAATGTAATTCTTGTAGTATTTTTCTCTTTTCTCCCTCCACTTGAAGAATGCACGCTGTGAAAGCTGGCTACTTTTGTTACGAATTCTTTTATTGAAAAAGAGCACTTTTCAAAGCTAAACTTCAAACATAGAGTAGAGAGTTGGTACAGAGAGGAAAAAAATTAAATGCCAATTATTGCAGTGATTTATTATGTATGATATTAATATATACTTTTAATAGTCCAGTGTGGTGCTTAGCTGATTGAGTATAATTTGTAACATTTTAACAGATTGACTATTAAAATATTTTGCCCTCTCAGTTTACATTTGAATTTAAGTAATTTAAAAATCACTTTAATAGTAATAATATTTTTGACGTTACAATCACATGTGCCTTAAAAAGTATACATTTAGTTCATTATCTTGAAAAAGGCAGCCTTTTATATTTTGTCCTATGTGCCCTTTTAAAAAAGTCATCAAATAGCTCTTTGATTTTCTTGTCCTACTTATTTGAAGGTAAATAATTTATCTTTGGAGGGGAGTTATGTGGCAAAGAAGTTACGTAATATTACTGTGGGTGAGTTAATCAAAAGTTAGATGTACTCTGGAAGCCGGATGGAGTTTACTATTTAATTTTTAAATTTTTATTTGTCCTAACCAAATGTCAGCATGAGAATCAAACATTTTGGGTAAAACAGGAAAAAAAAAAAAAACTCAGTTCTTTAGATTCAATTTTATTTTCAAATTACCTAAATTTTAAGAGGCATCTGGGAGGGCTGACTGGGGTCTCATAGATGTTGGACCTACCTATTTTTCTATTTTCCTGTGAGAAAAAGCTGGAATATATTTCTAAAAATTACACAGCCTCTCTTTAGGGATGGTTAGTACCAAAGGCACCCCAGCCAGGTCACCAAATTCAGTGTAGTAAGTGCCATCCTGTCGTCACCATGATGCCTTCTGTTTACTGTCTGGCCTATGCATTTTTCTTTTCTTTTCTCTCTCTTTTTTTTTTTTTTTTTTTTTTTTTTTTTTCCTTTTTTTT